AAATTAATAAATACAAAATTACATAATAACAACCGTGTCCTTTTAATAATACAGTTTCTGATATGATTCAAACACCTCGTGACATCCACACATAATTATCGCTGAGGAGAAATTTCCAGAAATTTTTTTTTATCAACTTTTTGTCAATGATGGCGAAGAAATCTTGTAATGCTAATGTTTGGACTATTATTTAGAAAGTGCCAATCACTTATAAATTTAACTCAAGTTTACTTTCATGCAACCTCTGAAAAGTAAACTATATTTTCAGTGGGTCTTATTTCTTTTATTTTTTTTATGAATAAGACCCACGGAAAATAATGTTGACAGGGTCTTTAATGATGATTTGTTTTCATTGTAGTTACGGAAACAATTGCTGAATTGTCGTTGACTGTTTTTCTTAAAAAAAATAGATTGACAGTGAACAAAATACTTCTACATATATTTGACTAACACTAAAATGATTAATTATAAAAAAGGTTATTGTCTCTGTTAGATGCTGCATATGTCAAATACACAAGTAGCATTCTACCTTGAATGCAAACTAGTATCTCGATAGTGGACATTACTGTGCTCAATCTTAGTGCTTGCATTGCATCATCACATGTTTTCTCATTTTCCTTAGATGTTGGACATGGTAAAGCCATCAGAGTCAGATGTCATTAAATTGAGTGATCTAAAAGCTTGTCATATGACCAATATATTCTTTGATACATTCTTCAATCTTGAGAAATACCTGGAACATGAACAGAGAGATCCATTCTCCTCAGCAAGGGTAAGTAACAATTTTGTTTGTTCAGGGTTGTGCCAAATCTAGTCACTACAAACATTTACAATGATTTGCAAGTCACTGTATCTAGTTATCACAGTCCTATATTAAAACAACCCAGAAATCAGCAATTTTGGGCACAAAATAAATAAAATATGAAATATACCTAACTCAACGTCTGCACAGGGTTTTGCTGAGTAATACCTGACAGTAGAATTGATTGTGGGTAATGACAAGCACTATGTCTTTCTCAGGACCATGATTATGATGGCCCTGAACCATCAGATTGGGAAAAGTATGCAGCTGAAGAATATGAATTATTAGTTGCTGAGGAAAGCGCCAATGAACCCGAACAGTAAGTACAACTACTAACTGCTTTTCAATGTTGTCTAGACAAACAAACCTGCTGCATTTGATAGTGAATTTCAAATTCAATCAAATTTCATGAGGAAGAAAGTTCACAAAAATACTTGTTGTCTTGAGAACTTACTCAATAGTTCACTGTTGTAGTTCTCCCCAACGAGGGAAATTTGTGAAAATGTGTCTCTCTAACCCAAAACTTATTTCAGCTGCTTTTAGAACGTAGAAAACTGTCATTTATTTTGTAAAGTTATGTTGCATGGCATCTATATTCGGCATATGTGCTTTCTAAAGCAGAGGTTTCACAAATGCATTTAATAGCAGGCCATCAGGCCGGTCGGGGGGGGGCAGAAAGTAGACAGCCAATTTGGGTTTGTAGCAGGCCATATGGCCGGCGACCCGCTCTTAACGAAACCCCTGCTAAAGTATAGCTACATTTAAATATTGTGTTTTGATTGCTACTTCAAAGTGACCATAGTTAAACACATTTCAAGTACAATATAGTAGCAATATGAGTATAAAACTTCCATGTATCACACCCCTCAACTCTCAATAGCCATGCAGCTACATGTAGGTTTAGTGATTATATAAAACATACAAATATGTGGAGTCCTGGTGATATGTCTAACATGTGTCTCTGTCATTGATCACAGAGAGTACCCGGATGATTTTGAGCCTGATGAGGAAGAAGAGGAAGAAGAAGTAACAGCAGTTAATTCAGCACAGAAATTTATCTTACAAGATCCGCCACACAAACATAAACTGAACAATACGCAGTATATCAATCAGAATGACCTGGAAATCACAGATGACTTTTGAATTGGTAGTACCATGGTGCTGCAATATTTGTCAGCATGCACGTGCACTGCCTTAGTATGCAACTCTGCTTCTAGAAAGCAGTGAGTCGGGTACACAGCATTTCTCCACAATTTTGTTTATGCATCTTGTACAATTTTTGGTATAGATAGAGCTACAGGTATTACATTAGTATACCGGTACATACTTTATCAATGCATTGAATGTATTAAGAAGCTTGGAATCAAGTACACCCACATTTACAGTGACTCTTCAGTCAAAATAATCAGTGTATATAAAAAATGATCATGTTATGTGCATGGCGGATGGATATAATATAGTCAGTATGTTGCAAGCTCTATCACCTTGATAAAATTCAAATGCTGTTACCAGTACTACTGTCTGCTCAATATGTTTTTCTCTGTCCATCATGTTTGTATACTAATATCTACTCTAGCCTAAAATTCATTATTGTTTAAATAATCTGCATCATTTTTACACTTTTGTTGTGAAACCATTCATCACTTAAAAAAAAGTTTTGTGCTATTTTGTATGAAGTTTATTTACACTGATTTTTGAAAATTTTGGATGTATAATGAAGAGAAAAGGTATTTTCACTGGATTTTACTGTCACTAATTCATCCCTTCATGTAAAATAAATTCCAATTAAAAGTAAAACAGTATTCAGGGTGTGTTTGAACATACTATACAGGGTTGTGCAGTTGTGTACAGTATTCAGGGTGTAAAACGACTTGTACTTTATGACTGGTACTTAAAGGAGTTCAAGTTATTTATCTACTGAGCAATGCATTATGGGAGCAGTATTCACATTGAATATTCTGTGAAACTATTATCTCATTGTAAATTCAATATTAATATTTAGGAATAATGTTTCTGGAAAGAAACCAAATTAAAAAAAAAGACCCCACAATATTTTTTTTTTCATTTTCGGGAACACAATGACTTGGACCTAGTCATATCAAAGAAAATACAAAGTAAATTACATAATTATATGTAACGTATGTAATTTTGTCTAAACCTCCTTCATTGTTATATAATTGGTTCTGATAATCTCAGTGTAAATGACCTTCAGTATTTGGTTATCAAATTGCTTGTTGTGCACATTCCTTCAAGTACAAATCCTGTTGGGCTAAGGGTATTTTTCTGTAAGTTACTGCTTGAGGCCAAAAATTCGAAGATTTCTTTACAATAGGTACTTTTTGTTTTTTGAATTTATAAATGTCAACAACTGAATTTAGGATAGTGGAGCTTTCTAGTATTGTGTCGGCTTAAAACTTTTTTATTGCCACAAATCAACTTTTTGTCACCTTTCACAAAATAATCCTGCATAACCTTTTCAAGATTTTTGTCAAAAATTGTTGATCAAGTACTGTTGCCGATGGAAAATTATATCTATTTGCCTCAAAATTGCTGAAAAACTTAAAGGAAATTACCTACAATTGTGCAAAAGGTTGCATAATTATACCGGGAAAATCATTGCATTCAAATGGTTAATAGAGACTGTATGAACCAGAAATTGAAAAATGTTTTTTTTTTTATTGTTTGAAATTTGATGACTAAAGACCGTAAACGCTTATGACTGCAGAGATCTTGCCATGCCAAAGATTTGTTGATACCCTTTGAAGTGTTCCATTCTATCCTGCCATTGTGTTGACTGTTTAAAATGTCATGGTTACATAGACCATAGGAATAATAAATGTAATGACAGGGGAGAGTGGAACATTATTTGAAGGACAAGAGGGACATGGTTTTATTGCTCTCAACAAGATCTCGGTGCCATTTGCATATAAGGTCTATTGATCACTATTTCATTTCATATTGAAAACATTATACTTGACTTAAAATGGTATGGTGCTTATTAAAATTATTTCATTTGATTACAAACTTCTTTTAATTTATTGAAAAATTATAAAGCAAAATATTTATTAATTTGTATTTGTTTATAAAGCCTTGTGTGTGTAAAAATGTCTGTACTTTTGATCTGTTAATTTAAGTAGTTCTGCATCACAATTATTTCATGATTTGGAATCAAAAATCATTTTTTCGCTCTTGACGGGTAAATATTATTTTATCCACCAATCATTTGCAGAATGTACTTTAAAATTGTATTACGTTAGAAGCATATCTTGGTTTGTGTCTGTCCTTGTACATAGAAGTATGTCTACTTAACTAATTGAATAATGTTCTCACTTTAAATTGCATTACCATGTTTGTTCTATGAGAAGTGCATATGTATATCTATCAACTTAAAATTGTCTATTGCAATTTCACAAAAGCACTTCTAATAGAAGAAACACTTAAGCAACGTTTGCCTTGCACTGGACTTATGATTGTACAAGAGTGTTGTATATTAGCTGTCTTCAACATATTTCCCCTCTTACCCTATATTTGTTACCCTGGTAAAGATTAGAAACTTCAAAGAGAATACAATTAGTCTGGAATATATCATTCAGGACTTGTATGTAATGTCCAAGCGATGTCATCCAATTAAATTATTTTGGAGGCAGATTAAATTCTGTAGCCCAAAGTTCATGAAGGCAGATGATTATCATTGTCACAGTGAGTCGAAACGGCTATTTTGTTTTGTCTTCTTAAGTTGGAAAGGGATGGAAGCTGGGGTATGTACCAAACAGCGCCATCTATAGTTTGAAATCTTATCAGTCTGTTAATCATTCAAATTAATGCAATCCAATCAATTGAATCACAATAAAAAGGAAAATTTGCCAAACAAATCTGAGTTTGTTATTTGCAGCTATTCACACCTGTAGTAAGGGCAATATACATGATGTATGATGTCATATTGCATTTTGTAATACCGGTACAATACTGCATTCAATCAAAATAAAATCAAAATATCGGGGTGCCTCCAGACTGCCAAAATGGAAACCTATTCTCAGACTATTGTTCTGACAAAAGTTACCGGTAGGTATGATATGAGCCATTATTCTGCCCAAATTCACAATATTTTTTAACAAACCACTCTTTTGATTGATTCATAAGAAATATATTATAATGAATGCTGAACATTTTAGATTACTTTCAAGACATGTGTTCAAAAAAAAAAGTGTCATGATATGCATCCACACATAAGAGGCACACTCCAAACACTGGCGGTGCTCTCACTTTCACTCCTCTCGTTCGGTTTCCACCGCTGCCACACCATATTTGCATATTGAAGTATAGAACGTAATCAAAGACGTTCGAATTCTCTTCGTGTCGCGTAGTAATTTTGAAATATTTGTTTTTGCTCTTGTATATGAACCTCGAATATTCGATATACGCACTTTTTCTCCTCATCTAAATCTTGTGATTCGCAAGACTAATGTACACAGTTTTGATAAAATAAAAAGAGGCTTACGAAAGCAGGTTTTCTTTAACCGAACATCACACTTGTAAACATGAATGTACTTCCACTTTGAAAAATAGGTCTCATACAAAAGTGAAATGTATACACCTAAAGACACTTTCTGTTGCATGATTTCATATTTATGCGCAATTTACGGTTTGGCAGTGATGTAAACCCGAACAAGAGGAATAGAAGTGAGAGCGCCACCAGTGTTTGGAGTGTAATCAAGAGGTAGAAGCACTTTCTGGTGCATATTACTTCTGATGATAAGAATAAAGTGAATAAAGAGATGTGGGACCAGAAAAAAAAATCTGTTTATTTTATTCAAAGATCTAAAATGTCTAGTGTTTTACAAAAAATGACGACAATTTCTCTCATTCTACCCAAAGAATGATACTAACAATATTAGTATATTTACCCTCATTTCACTGTAAAAGGTTGTCAGACATTACTTCAATTTATGTTCATTAAGAACAGTTTGGTATTTCCCTCAAAAAGATTCATTGAACATCTTGAAGTTACAATAAATTTTATATCCTGAAGTTTGAGGGATACATGTAGGTCCTTCATATCCACTTGTAAAACAAAAGAATTGAAGGGTAACAGCACCAGAGGGTGCTATAATAAAACATTGCCATTTATCGACAGTACAGGCTCAATTCCGTCACACTCAATTTTGAAATTGAAATAGTGAACATAAGTATGTGTGTATTACAAGCAGTTACTGTAAATGAAAAGAATTTTAAAGAAACCTAATAGATTGTTGGTCTTTGCATGGACCCAGATTTTATAAAGCATGTGTTCGTGTAATGCCTTATCGACCCATGCGTTACAAAGACTCCACAGTTGGCTTCTGTACTTCTTAATAAATACAATATCATGAGTTACCGGTACATATTATATTAAATGAAGACAAAAAATAACCCAGGTGAAAATGAATACCATATTCGCTCTAATCGTACATATGTAAATGACAGGTGTCATTTTAATAAACCAACTTACAATAAATGCAATTTTTGGTTTAAGTGCACTTTTAATAGAGCAGATATATTTGTAGTAGGAAGGCCTTACTGAGAATGTACCAGTTAGATAAAAAAACGGGTGTGTTTCCAGCAGGCATACAAAATAATGGGTATGCAGGCAGGACTTTTTGTTTTCATTAAACATATTTCTATCAGAATCATTCATCAATAAAGATTTCAAATTAATTTATAAAGAATGAGCATCTATGGCAAGTTAGACATTATACAGATTTATGGAATCTTGTTGGATAGAACATAGCTAATTTACATAATATAAAAGTTTGTGTTTCACCACAAATGTGGGTACAATTATTTTTTTCCTCTGCCAAATGAAACCTGTATTAATCACTCATTGACATTTGGGAGGGGGGCTTCTATACAAAATATCCAACACTTGACTTCTTGCTATTTTTTTTTCAGTTTAATGTCTGTGAAAACACGAACCACCACTTTATGAACCACAAAATAAACTCTTACCTTTGTGATTTAAAAAACAAACAAAACAGAAAATGTTCAAACATGACTTATAAACAAATTGAGACACATTATTCTGCCCAGAAAGCTACCCTGTAATTAAAGATCTTAATCAAGCACCCCCCCCCCCCCCACCAACTAAAGTACAAATAATTGTCATTACATGGAGATTTTTAACAAGCCTTTAACAATCTCTCCGCATTTCCTGAGTAACGAACACATTGAGAATGGTGGGTTTTGATTTCAAAGTGGTGTGTATGTAACATTATAAATTTCATTTCTCTGCATTGATCAGCTAAATTCACAATATATAGAGGGAGGGCAAGGGGGGATAGCTGGTACTGGTTACAGGGAAAAAAAACGGCATTTTACGTTTTCACAGGAAATAAAATGAAAATTGCATTTCAGGAAAAAAATAGGTTTTTACACTTTACAGATAAAGCAAATTCCTAATTTCATTTTAATAATATTTTCAATAATTTGTGTTTAAGAATCAAAATTGTAAATTTAGGCAGAGGGTCTATGGTGGGTAATTGAAATAGTGAATTGCAAATAAATTACAACATTTGGAAAATGCTTTATATGCTCACAAAAAATAATATCATTGTACAAATTACGAACAAATAAAATAGCTGATTACATTTTACACCTAGTCCATATCTAGGAGTTTACGTTTTTCATTTATTTAAATTACATTTTTACGAAAATAAAAACAATTGATTACAGCTTATGAAAATACCCCTTGCCGACCCTCTTTATGATGTGCCAAAAGAAGTAAATCTGAATAATTGTAAAACTGAGCAATACTTAAAATGGAACGGTAACAATTATCATATTTTAAGCGAGGTGATGTTAGCCATCTGAACAGCTTTGGTTTTATCCGTTGTTGATCATTACATACAAGTTCACTGATTTGTTCTAAGAAAAGCGCCCTCACAGTTAAAATGTTTTTAAAAAGTATGAATAAATAAAATAAATAAAAACACTGACAATCATTAGAAAATAATGAGCTTTAAAAATTAAAATGTAAGCAAGGAAATTTATCATAACTATTACATTATTAGGGGTCGGATGAAAAACAATTTGAATAAACACAATAACATTTACATCACAAAGACGGGAAAAAATTATGATTCTTATATTATGAAGAAGTACTAGTAGGAAGTTTATTTTTTTTTGGAGTCTCTATTCAATCTCAGAGACTTGTGTCTGAGAGGATCAGCAATTCTAGCTACCACAAGCATAGAAGTGATGTATAGGGATTGAATTCATTTTTGAAAAACAGAAGACCGCTTATTACAACCAGACACTATATGCAAATGTGCCCCAAATCACTATACATTTCATACACGTTGAGGGCGCTGCATTTTTAAATATACATGATCGAATGAGGGCGCCACATCGTCGTCCTACTTTTAGTAAATTGAAAATCTTGCTATAATTCTGTTTCAACTGGGTTTGTATGTATGTATGTATGTATGTATGTGTGGGGGGGGTGTGTTTTGTACAAACAATGTGTACGTAGGAATTCTCCATACACAAAATAAAAGTTTAAACCACGCAGAGAACTAGAAGGTATCTAAAAATTACATATTGGATTGATTGACTTGATTGATTGAAAATTTTTAAAATGAGAGGGAATGTGTAAGTACAATAGCAAATATTTAGACGTCCGTAACATCGATATTTAAATCGCTGTCAGCCGACGATTCTTCAAGATCCGTAGCTGATATTTGTTGTTTATTTCTGCGTGTTGTTTTTTCGTCACCGCTTGGAGTGTATGGATTTTTACACCCTCGACATCGACAATGAGAACACCCTCTGAAAGACACGTAGCAAGGACAACGCTTTCCGTGACATGTAAATACCCCCGGGGGAACGTTCATGTTGCAAGTTCCACAGCGACATCCTTTCTTCCGCGACTTTACACCGTCTTTGCATTTTCTCCCAAGCACGACAAGTTTCAGTTCATTTGGTCTATCAGGGTCTAGGTGTTTTAAGAGTCTTTTTCGCTTTTTCGACGATTTTGCAGTGTCCTCGAATCGTTTTTTCTTCCTTTTAAATTTCATTTTTGTCGATACGCTATTTGAAAGAGATACGCTGTACGACGTATTTGCACTGCTGGTCATCGCGTCTTCGGTTTCCGCGGTGACAGTCGGCTCTACTGCATCACCTTCGCAGTGTTCAACGTCGTTTCCGGTACTCTGATCGACGTCTGTACACATACCGTCGACCGTGTCCTCCGATGGCGTGGTAACTTTCGTTTGATGTTGTGTGGCAGTCATTGATGACATCGCCGACGCGAGATCAATAGTATCCGTAGATCTGGACCCACCTGGCATGGTGTCATTGATTGTCATTCCTTCGTGTAAAATCGCTAGCGGACTAAAACCGCCATTGGTCGGCGTTGCGAGGTTTTGCGCGATGGGCGTATCGGCAATGAATTCACACAATTTCTTGAAACATGGTAAAAGCAAAGCCAATTGTTTGTTTTCGGCGAATGAACTGTAATCTTTGCACCAACTGCAGGATGGTCTTAGTCTCATCTTTCCACCGAGGCATGACCGGCATACGTGGTGTTGGCAGATAGATTCAGTGGGACCCATTGGGTCACTGATAAGGCTCGTACAAACACAGCACGACAGCGCTTGTCGAAGGTACGGAAGTAAGCGATACAAATCATTCCATGTGTTTGTATCTTCTGGGTTTGCCCGCAGGACGTATCGGCATGTTGTTACGTAGAGACTGGTTGCATTCATTTTAGTGGACAGTCCTGCATTTCTATAAATAAAACGATAAAACACAGAGGTAGAAATCCGTCAACGCCAAGATTCGCATGCCAGGCTGATCAGCTGGAGTAAACGTCGACCACCTAAGGTGCCACGACGTCATCATCACGCAGCTCATCCTCAGAAATCACGAGACTATAGATTTTGACAAGATTTTCTCTTTATTTTATAAGGACCGGAGTTTCGGTACCATATAAATCAGTGAATACGTTTTATTAAACTTTATATGACGTGCTGACTATATTTATAATCAATCTTCACGGCATTATATACGTTCCCAGTCGTGACAGAATTTGCATCACGTGACCAATTGAGGTTTCAATTTACAATCATGGCTATGGCTGCATCTAGGTGTTCGAGATTTCTTGCTAGAAATGTACTGCAGAAACATTATAATCCTGTCTGCGTCCACAGGGTCGGGTATTGCACTCCACAGCTTATGCATGACATAGAGTCTAGGATCGACAAAAACGCCAGAAAGCCATACTTGGTGGTGGTAAGAAAAGAATCGACGCCCAGCATAAGAAGGTATGATCCTATTCGTACAATGACCTCGACGGTCATTGACACATTTTTACATAATTTTGTAATTGTAAAAGAAATGAAGAAACTGCCTATCTTTAAATATGTCTTAATATCTGTTTCTGGCAGTGTGTAATTTCTCGATTAATTGATAATTAACTTGATAAATATGAGATATATTCTGCTGAAATTGAGATACAAAACTCGACCAGAAAAGCATTGCCTTTCATGGCCCTTCTCTTAACCTGTGTTTGACCGCACAGAGAGGGAAATCGGCTTATTCATGCATGTATTCAAGCCGTAATCATATCCTGACATGTGAAAAGTTATGATATTACAACGGGCGCAAACGATATTCGTACGGTAGCTTGAAAAATAGCAAAATAGATGCTAGGGTATATTCTTCCATGAAAAGTTCTCACAAATGTTCCAATAGCCTCATCAACTTCCCCAGACGGTTGAAGCGACTGCAAATAAATTCGTATGAGTAACATCCAACATTCTCACAACAGTGCTGCAACTTAGCTAAACAACTGAACCATAGTACGTACCTAGGCAGAAAAATAATTGTTCCAAAATGGAGCCTGGAAGTGAGAATGTCACAAAATGTAGCAAATTGTTTTCACAACATTAGATTCTTTGATAGTGCCATTAAGAAAGTCTCTTGCTATATTGCAATGTTCATAGAAATCTTTCCAAGGGAGTTTGCTCGCTGTAAGCTATCAATCCCAGGGTGTAAATGATGTGATTTTTAACACACAGGGGCCTGGAGATCTATTCATGTGGTTGGTTTCTAAGGTCTACAAATGGACATCTATGGGATGGAATGAATACTAGTATGTCCTGATTTAGGGTCTTATCCTTGCCCAAAATAATGAGAATTATAGAATTGCTTATTTAACATGACTTTCACTGGAAAACATTATTTCATTGCTCTGGTTGACCAGATAAACAACAATTTTGTCATTTTGTTCTTAAAGTAAATTGCACCACAGCTTGAAAAAAAATGTTTTTGAATTATGTGAAATATTATGAGAACTCTCAATTTAGAGTCACAATTCAATTCTTAGGTATTTGTAGTGTACATTTGTAGTGTACATGTATATTTCACCAAATATTTTAACAAGTTTTTAGCCAGAATCTTTCACTTTGGCCATAGTCATTAAACTTTATATTGCATAGGACATTAGCAATGTCACACACAAACAAAACAATTAAGTGAGAACAAAATTAAGAAAATTTGACTCTTTGCATCTTTAAGGTAGTATTTGGACAGTTTTACCTTGAAATTATGTTCGCATAACGAAAATACCACAATCTGTTAGCAGGAATTCTAGGTTTACAACATGATGCTTGCAGATAAAAGAGCTTCACAAATACAGCAGAATGCAATAAACAGTTATTTTATATAATGCATTCTTCTGCGTTGTTGATAAAACCTTTAAACTCTTGGCAGCTTTTAATAGAAGATCAAATGTAAAAAAATTGACATCGAGTTAGGGTGGCTTATTACTGTGTTGTAATAGTTAAGATGTCACAGTTACTTTGAATAAGTTGTTTATTCATAGTGTTTTTTAAATATTCTCCAAAGGGAAAACTGACAGCCAGAGAACGTATCAACTTGTTACTTGATGATAACAGTTTCATTGAATATGACATGTTTGCTGAACAGAGATGCACTGACTTTGGCATGGAAGCAGAGGATAAGAAGGTTAGTGCTTCCTATACACACACACACACATTCTAGGCTTAAAGCGAACCTAAATGCGGCCTTAATTTATAGTTGTGTATATTCTAAACTGTATTCGAAATAATATTGCAGTGGTTTAATTTTGTTTTAATTATAACTGTAGCTTGGATAGGCATTTGAAGTGCTTGCAATTAAACACCATGGAGGCCATTCATGGAGGGGAATAAACAACGAACGAACATATTTAACATCCCCTCAAGAAAAAGATGTTATCTTTTGAAATTGTATTATACACAAAAACAAACTTGTTTATATAGATTTAGTGGAC